AGAGCTTCCACTAAGCACTTAATTTTAGCCTCAGTGTCTTGAGTTTGGTCCCTAATTGGATCATGGATGAGCAAATATAAGCAAACCCATTCTAGTATTGAATGATTATCTAGTGCTTCCTACTTCCTAATGATTATTTAATCATTGTTAGTTGCTGATATGAAATTTCAAACTGAATAATATCCACAATACTTTAGTATAAAAACCGTCCACTTCAGTTGATGTTTCATACAACAGACACTGAACTTGAATCTTGTTAGTAACATCAATATATGAATGTAGATCCTTTCAATTAATTAATTCTAATTAAAACTTAAAGAGAATACGCTTTAAATCCTCATCCTACTAGTCAATATCAAGTATTATATGTTGATAGTCGTAAATAATATTGATGTAATAAAAAAACGTGACCTTTAGTAAATTTGTACGAAATAAATTAGCAATCAGTTCTAATTTGAAGAGAAAATTAGGAAAAGACGATGGAAGTGGATAGGATATAAATTACAGAAACCATCAAACTGCATCACGAGACAAGCACTAACTTGGAATCCTGGAGGGAAACGGACATGAGGAAAGCTAAAAACACACTTTGTCGGGAATTGGAAGCAGACATGAAAATGATGAATAGTAAGTGGGAACAATTAGAAAGGATTGTCCACGACAGAGTTGAATGGGGAATTCTGGCTAGTGGTCTATGCTCCTCCACGAGGCGTAATAGGTGTAAGTAAGTAAGTAATTTAGTGATAGTTATTTAATTTTATTTATCTGAACCATGAATTGTATTCTCTAACAGTTGCCTTATCCGATAGATAACAAGTAAAAACTGTTTCTTTCAGCTACCTCACTACGTATCTATTCCATTCTTTTTACTCCTGTCAAACAGGCTGTATTGACTGCCTAAAAGAGACTTTTTCCAAACATATCCGAGTACTAAGAGACATGCTTGTTCAATAATGAATGAAAATCAAGTAAGTTTTATTGATGAATACTTGATCACTTTCGGTAATCTATCTCAACCAGAATGTTTATTTACAAAATCAAATGAGTCGTCTCTAAAGGTGAGGAATTTGTACATAGAGGTAGAGTACGGTAATTTATCAGATAAAGCCTTATCCTTGAATCGTAACTTAATAATTATTGTGTGACAGTTTATCCATATGTATTATTTAATATTGGCTAAAGATGTTCCATCGAGAATTCTCTTGAAATATCATTGAACATTAAGGTTTCGACATTATTTCCAAATCGCATTTATAATTTTCAACTGAAAATCGGTTAGCATGATAATTTCATAACTTACATAACAGACTTATTTCAGTCAGATGGAGAACAAAAAACAAGGGAACACTAGAAGTAATTTTACACCCTAGAATGAGACTCCTCAGTAGCATGTATTCACAGACCCACCGAGGTTTAATCTAAAGTTCTTCTAGTGAACGTTTAACTCATATATCACTAGGTTTCAAACCAATGATTCACACTGTCCAGCTGTAATCGACTGATGAAGTTGTATGGCTATCTTCGAATGTCACATTTAAAATGGTTGAACTCAACTGATCACGAAATCTCACTACGACTAGAGCATTACCTCTTGAAGTTAATCAACGTTTACCTAACTAAATTTGATTTGTAAATGGAAACTAGGAAATTTAGCAATTTTTACAAATTCCTATTGTAATACCGTCTATGTATTTAGATAAATGTGTTATGTATTGTAAAAGCCTATAAATATACAAGTGATAGGATCTTGTCTAATGAAACTAACTCTTTTGTGTTGAAATGTAATTGCTTTCATGATTCCTGACAAGTTCACTGTCCAGTCAGTTTTGCACTATGATTAAGCAACCAGTACGTATACCACTGATTGTCATTATTTTGAATTAAACATCAATTCATTATTTAAATTTAACAGTTAAATAGTTGAGTTTAAGGGAGTGTGTTGATATTACTTTAATTCATTTTTGTTCTTCGTTACTAGCTGACATCATCTTGATTATCAATGAAAACTAGAAAATAATGAATAGTTGTTTCATCCTACTACCATCGATGAAGTTTGATTCAGATGAATACACTTTCTTTAAATGTTAATGAGGAGATTGAGAAGATATAATTAGGAAAGCCAAATAATAGATAAACAAAACATTGATACATATATCATTCTTACCCAGGGAGAAATATGTAGGCTGAGACACTGATTAGTTAATATAATCGAATACCTTCAGTAGTATGTTTAATTTGTAATTTATCAATTACTGATCTCCCTTGGGATCACAATTAAACACAGGCACATGCTATATCGAGACTCGCCAAGCTCAATAAAAACTCCTTAAGAGTAAGAAATTTATGACTGATGACACTAGATTATTATTCTGTATATTACTAACTGTTTATGGTTGGAATTGTTGACCACAAAGATTCTGACTGAGTAGTTTAAATGATAAAGAATTATCTACAATATATCATGGTCTAGATAAAAATTATTTCCTGAGAACTCTTATACTAGATTAGAAGAGATGACGAATACTTCGAATTATTTAATAATTGAATTCGTGAGTCCATTAAAGCTAGAACACCATGAAAAACGTGCAAGAACTGGATGACCGTTTCATCCTATTGTGGAACTCCTGAGCATTGCGCATCCACGATTCTCCCTCACGTGACTCGAACCCTAAACCTATAAGCCTCGCGTGCGAATGCTTAACTACTAGACCACTGAGCCGGCATCCAACGGTGTTATTGTCTAACTTCAATTAATCCACGAAATTGAGCTACTGTCCACTATTGTCTTAAGTGAGTTACTATCTCACAACAGACCCAGTTGAACTGCAATGATCACGGCTTCTCACTAGAACTCCATGAAATAAGTCTTGGAGACAGTCACTAGTGAACATATAATGATTTTAATCACACACACACAGAGAGAGAAAGACTGTAGTAATTTAAAAATTGAATTCACGAATCAACTGAAACTAGATCACTATGGAATATCTGGAAGCACTGGATGGTTGTTTCATTTAAATCAGTGATCAATATAATCGATAAATTAGGAAATCCTGTACAAAAATAACACCAAATATAATAAAGTCCCGAATATACATACATGAACTCATTAACCGGTTATTATATGATTCAGTTATAAAGGAAATTTATGTAGATTTCATCAACATATTTAACCTCATCAAAACATTGTCACAGATATCTTATTCCATTTCAAAATATTGAATAAACAAATGTAGATAGAAGTGTTTTGACTCAATTAATCTGACTGATGCATATTAATGAGACAGTTTCTTTTTCTTTTTCAATATTAAAATGGACAGTATTTGTATGTTAGATGATGTTCTCTTGTCTTCACTTTCTCACTCTCTCTCTCTCTCTCTCGTTCGATCTCTGTTTGTAATATATAAGTTATTTGAATTTGTCAACCAATCTAATCATTTTCAGACGATAATAACATTGTCCCCATTTATTTTTTCTTATAGCCAAAGGCAACAATCACAGCTGTTAACATTAAAGTTTAACATTTGTGCAACGATTTCAATAGTTGAAATCATAAGTCGTTTGAAGTTAGACCATGATGGGGGAAACCTGGAAGCACTGGGACATTGCAACAGTTTATTAACATAAACAAAATGAGTACTTATAGATAAAAAGTAATTATATTCTAAGAATAGATTACATAAGTGATCTGTTATTGATTTCACTTCTAATAGAATTTACGTTGATAATAATTAAGAGTAAGGTGAGCGTATTGTTATTGGAATGAAAACCATACTAATGATCTCTTCTTGATGGTTTAATTTAATTTAGTATGATGATATTCCATATTTTAATAGTTGAATTCATGAATCAATGTATGCTGGACTACTATTGAGAACCTGAAAGCAGTGAATGGCCGTTTTGTCCTAGTATGAGACTCCTTAGCAGTTCACATCTACAACAGCACATGTGGGATTTGAACCTAGAACCTTCAGTTTCCGTGTAGGGTGTGAGACAGTTATCCACCGAAGACAATAGATGATGAGTTGTGCAAGATCATTAACACTGCTAGATACCAGCTCAGTGGTTGAGAGATTAAGCATTCGTGGGTGGGACAGAATGTCCTGGGCTCGAATCCTGTGTGCGGTATCGTGGATATGCACTACTGACGAGTCCCATACTAAGAAGAAACGGCTGTCCAAAGCTTACACCGTTTCAGTGGTAGTTTGACATTGATATGTTCATGATTTCGATGAAATTGAACGAACTCGACAACTTCAGTAGAACAATGAGTAGACCGTAGTTTATCTGATCCCATCGTTCTATAAAAGGGACTAACTGATTTAAATCTCCACAACCTCAATATAATAATTTTAGTAAAACAACTATTACAAATAAAGAACAATTAGACAGTTGTATGGTTCATATCGATGACCTAAACAGGAACCGACACTAGGATAATCAGAACTTGTTGTGAAAAATTAACTTTTAAACTTATGAAATGTTATCTACATTACATCTCATTTTAATTGGATTGTTAGACTGATAGGTCCTGAAATCCAATCTCACGAGACGGGATTGTGGATATGCAATGCTGAGGAGTCCCACAATAAGACGGAACAACCGTCCAGTCCTTCCAAGTTTTCCATGTTGTTCTAGCTTCAATCGATTCATCACCTTAACTATTGAAATTAAATGTTTGAAATTACGGAAAAAAATATGTTTCCATTACTTATTTTTCATTCACCATTTTTAAGTGTAATAAATGCTGGTAGGAAAAATAAATTCATTGACTAATCAGAATATTATCTTTTTCATGTGTACACATGGTAATTTATCTTAGATTCTATAGGATACTATGGTCAATATGGGAATGAAAATTCTCTACCCCTAAAAGCAAAAAAATATCTTGAAACTGTTTATAAAAAAAATATTTTTTATTCAATTTTGATTGGTTAATTATTTTATTTATTGTTTCAGTAAAATGAACCAATCACAATTGAATGTAAACACACGTGGACAGAAAAAAATATAAAAACATTGAAAAATAAACATCATTTGAAGTCATCACAGTAAAATTAAAGAAAAAGGGATTTATTATTGTTGTCTTCAAGTAAACATAACAATGAAATCTGATGGAATGATACAAGAGTGTAATAAAGTTAAACCAGCTAGATGTTTATTTCAATCATTGGAAAATAAATTATGGAATCATTCATCTAATTTAAATAATAACAATAATAACAAAAACAATAACATAAATCAAACAAAATCAGGTATCAATGAACAATGTCAACAAACATTTAACTTAATATGTCAAAAAGATCTTGAAATGTTTTGTCAAAATTATGATTTTGATTTGAATCAAATGAAACCTGTTGTTGGTCCGATCAGTTGTAATATCAATGAAAGTGATCAGAAAAGTCGACACTGTCATCGTCATCACCAACATCAACACACACGACATAAACAGGTATGGCATTGGGAACAGTTGGACATCACACTCAATTATGTCCCCACATTTTATTTGAACAACAAATATCATTCAGATAGTTACCTACTTCGATCGCATCAACAGGAATATCCAGTACCACCGAATACACCACACAAATGCACTACAAAATCATCAAACTACCAATTCACCGAGAATAAATACAATTCATCTACTACGTTCACATTGCACAGGTCAAAAGCATATCATCACATATCATCTCCAGTACCAATCATCCAACCAGTTACAACTTCATTTCGTGTGTGCCGTACTCGAAGTAGGAATTCATCAAACTGCACAATGTCATCTGGTAGAGCTTCCAAGTATTTGCATGCTGAACATATACGGAGTAAAAGTGAAGGGAAACACATTGACCACATACACAACTCACATCTCGATGGACACGCAAAATGCAGTGTTTGTATTGATTCAACTTGTCGTTCTCCTCAACTTCCATACAAATTATCAAGTCATTCGTCTTCCAATATTCCATGTTCAAAGAGTGTGAATGGTGTTGGGGAATGGGAAAACATTCCATATTCTGATAAACAAGTGTCTCCCAGTCCACAATCCACATCGAACAGATCTAGTTTGAAGCAAATGAAACTGACTGGTAAGTTGACACACAGTTTCCCATGTCCGTTTCCAATGTTGTTTATTGACCGGATGCAACTTGGTTTCAGATCGGTCTCCTTACAGATTTGTAAGTTCCACAATAAATAATTAGTTCCATCCATACTGAGATAGAAGAACGACTGATGTTTATTCTTATGAGGAATATTGTGTAGAACCAGGTTAATTTTGTTTTCAAGTTTTCATAACATTGTAGAAATTTTGTGGTCTTATTTCCTGTGACAAACTCATGTCACTCGTAGTTATTCAATGAATAGGTGTACATGATGCGTAAATGTAAGTGGTAGGGAGATAACTACACAATTGGTTTCTCACTCCAAACAGAACATTTATCCATGCAATTTTCCATATTCACTTCTGATAATAATGAATAATGGATTGTGCTACTCGAACTATGAACAAATGATTTTCGAATCAAACACTTTCATGCTCAGATAATCCAAAGTACTCGAATGATTATGTCTAATAGTGACCCAGTCAAATCCTATAACAATTGTTATTCAGTTGTTAGTATGACAAACACTTAATACTAGAGATACTCCACCAATAGTTATCTAACTGATAGTGATATTTCACAGTTGACATTCTTTTATTCAAATTAAGACATATTTCTCTTAAATTAATGACGAATAGAATATGAGGAGTTACAACTATCACGTGTCATAACTGCTTAATCAATCAATCAATCAATCGAAGGTGGACATTGAAGGACGTGAAATGTTTTAACAGAAATTGACTACTAAGCATTACAAATAGATTTTCATGTATAAGTGTCATTCGACTAGAAAACGTTAACCTTGAATGTATTCTACTTTAAAGAGACGAAGCTCTAATCAACTTCCACGTCGATAATCGTTAATCGAACAGAAATTCATCTATGTCATTTTGTAATGTTTCGATACCAAGTTCTCTTTCGATACTGAATTGTTAGTGAAAATCATGATCAATGATAAAGCAGTGGGCGTGAGATAATTCAGTTAGCAATCCAAACTTGACAGTGGCGCTTCAATTGTAAAATCTATATATTCAGACCATTCATTCCATGATGTTTGAGTGGTCATACACTAAATACAGACAACCTCAGAGTAAAGATAATCTAAATTAGGATAATTACTGTGACATTACAGAAATTGAATATTGATTTACATGGTGACACGATAAAACATTGGTCCGACTCTCTCTTGTCTAACTACTTTGATCATAACTTATATGCAGTTCATTTAACCATCTATCGGCTGAACAACAGAAGTGTATGAATTAACTCATTCATATGATGATTGTTGCATGGAATCTTGTCCTACTCAGTATCTAACTTCTAACCCACATCTCAAGTCATATACAAAACAGTAAATTTTCTTGAGCACCAGATCTGTGTGAATAAACTGACTCATCCAATCACATTTGCAACACACACACACACACCATTGTCTTTTGTGATGCACAACCAATCTCTTCTCATCACTGATTAAGCTCACCACAGAATTCTGTAATCAATTATTGTGAATTAAAAGTCATCATAATGAAATTAGTTCATGTTTGTATTACAGTCTGTAGTGATGGAAGACAAATGATTTACGATCAAATTGATAATTATTAAATGCGGGTACTGTAACCAATGCTAGTTGTTAAGTTTAATGCACAAACACTATAATATATATTTGTAATCACCATGATCATGTTAAATTGTATAATTGGAGAGAAGATCAAAGTAAATGAGATCCGTGATGATTGAACACATATTAAAACACATAATGGAAAAATGTGATAAGATGAAGATGAGTCGATTGATTGTATGTGAAGTGAAGAAAAAATCACAATGTTATTTCGACTTCTCAATCATCATAGTATATATGTGTTACTACTAACGTTCAATACGTTTTACCACCACTTCTGTCGATCTTAATCTCTGAACATCTTCTAAAGTTGATCATATGAAATCTTTTTCAGTAAAAGATATTTCCACAGAACTATTAAGTTAGTGCGTAATTCAGTGTTTTTATCTGGTGACATGTGTTACCAAGTATATATATATATATATTCACTCCTATGTTTCACACATCATATAACCTTAAAACTGTTAGTCAACATAACGTGAACCGGTAATTAATTTTAAATGGGTTACTAAATTTCATACATACTGTTCACTATATATGATCTTTAAATCGATGTGTCAGGTATGTGTTCAGTGACTTCGCATAAAAGATTTTGGTAACTATGTGAAATTATTCATTCAACTTTATATAAATAAATAAATAATGCAGAATAAATAAAACCATCTCTAATTTAATGAATGAACTACATTGATGAATATAGTTGAAAATATTAAAAAAAATCTGATCATAAATTTCGAACGATTCTTAGGTCATGGAAAAAGACATTGTAAACATCTGAGCGTCATGTAAAACAACTCAATGGTAACGTTTCTGATTTTGATATTTAATTAAACCGAAGATAACACAACAGGTAGTTTTGCTTTTGTCAAGATTACAGATATATCATCTCACTGATAAATACCAGTTAACAGGACCTTCAAATAATCTAATAACCGAAATAAAATGGATAATAATGCCTTTTTACTTTAAAGAAGCATAAATAATTTAAGTATATAACCATAAACGAGATTCAAAGAAGAACTTATAAGTTGTATGATAAGAATTATATGACTGTGTTTAATTCAATTTACAAATAATCTTTTTCAATATGGGTTTGTGGAGACTGTTGACTTTCATTGAAATCATAAAACGATCAATGTTAGACTCCGATTGAAAAGTTAAAAGAACTGAACGGCCATTTCGTCCTAGTTTGGAACTCCTCAACAGTGTGTATCCACGATATCACACGCGGGACTCGAACCCAACACTTTCAGTCCCTCGTGTGAACGCTAAACCTCCAAATCATTGAGCCGGTATCCAACAGTGATAACTTTAAGCAACCCAATATATTGAGCGATCATCTACCTGAGTTTCCACCAATTTATATGTTTTTTTATCTATTATGTTTCATGACAATTATAAATCTAAATTCATAGCAAGTAGCTCGTTTATAAAACTATTCATGTATGTTGAATATTGTTGAAAGAAATACAATGATTTGGATAGATATACTAAATATTTTGATATATGTTACTGAGTTAAAACCAATTAACATTATGGTTAATTTTTTTATTAACATCGTCTATATTTAATGCCACTAAGTTCTCTTAGGTGAAGGGTATAGTTGAATAGTATTCATTGTTTTTTCTGATGTCAAAAACGCCTTTCTTCACAAAACAAACAAACAATAATTTTCACATTTCGGTAAATCCATAATCGTTAAATCAGTTCATTCGGATAGCCATATTTGTGACGAGTTAGTTCTATGACTTTATTTGTCCTCATACTCCTATCGACTATCTCATTCTTACTTACTTACGCCTGTTACTCCTTGTGGAAGAGTATAGGTAGCCCATCAGAATTCTTCATCGAACTCGGTCAAACACAGTATTTTCCCATTGTTTCCAGTTGCTATTTATCCAACTGAGCTCTCCTAGGGTTACTGCCATTCCCAAGCCTGCGTAAATTAGAAGGGTTGGAGATGGGATTAACAACCCCATCCCGTAGAAAACAATCTTGTGAAGAAAAACCCACCAAATATCTCATTCATCTGAACTAGAATCAGTTTACAGGTTAGTTTTATGTCTATAAGTCTATTGATCTGAATGTAATCATTCTAGACATACTTTAACATTCTTAAAATTTCTCTGATCCATAATTTTAACAATTTCTTTTCCCATTTATAGATATGTTCCCTGTCAACAAGCCTGTCAAATCCTGTATTTTATGTACAAATTCATGATTATTCATTTATTCATCAGTAACAACAACAAAATCTGCCTGAAATTGAATTTTTTTTCTTAAATTTTGTGATACAAATATTATTTCCTGAGCTCAGAGAACAAAATTCCATCAAAATCATCCATCTGACCTACAAATCTTTTCCACCATATTATTCTCTTCTTTCTCAACATATGTATATATATGCTTGTACATAAATATTATTCATTACAGTATGGTAACAAATTTCGGTAAGTAACTAATCAAATAACTAATAGTTTTATTTGATACTTACTTACGCCTGTTATTCCTCGTAGGGGAGCATAGGCCGCCTATCAGAACTCTTCATCCAACCCAGTCCTGGGCAATCCTTTGAGTTTTATTTGATAAATGTATACAAGTTCGTGATATTGAGCAGTTATTATTATCCAATGCCATCAATGAGTAACTGCTGACCATTACTATTTGTTTAATCAAAGTCAGCTCCGTGGTGTAAACTACAAAACTGATAGTTAGTTGAACTGAGAAGAAGAATATCCACAGTTAATGCGTTAAAAGCTAGCTTACCATCAAAACTATGTGGAAATATTAAATGACAACTGTTTAGTACATGTCAGAAATATGTAAACCTATTCAATAATAATACATTTAATCGAATTTCGTATTTCTCACCTCGATATTGCCATTAATTCATAGACATTTTAAACAAGAGCGAATGATGTTTGATGTGAATGATATTGGTTTCAAATCTTGAAGTGAATATCAACTCTGAGATGCAGGTGGATTCAGCTAATGAGTCACAAATAAAACGAAACGTGCGTCCCGGATTCCACTATTAGCTACGATTCATCTCTGCTTAAAAATGCTTGTGAATTAATAGCAACATCAAAGCAATCCGCCAAAGAGACTGATCATTTATGATCCTAAACACCAATGGGAATACATTTCATCGTGTTAGTAAAGTTTATAAATACATTCTAAATACATCTAGCTTGGTTATGTTTTTATCTGGATACAAAGAAATAACAAATCGAACATAAATAGTCGGTTTCATAATTTATATTATAAACTGACCTGGATTCATAACTTTTAGGGTCATGAATGTGCAGTGATGTAGGTTCTGTACTAAGACAGTACCATTATGTGGCTAAAAATCAGACCGTGATTTAAGCTGTAAAACTCAACAATCTACATAATTCCCTCTACAGTCATGGATCGTATATTCTCGTCTAACGAGTAATTATCATGAATATTAATAAGGTATAAATCATATGATATAACCAATTAGGTATATTTCTAACTTTATGATATCCATACTTATATTCATCATTCACTGTGCAGTAGACAATAGTATGTTTTGAAATCTACCAGATACTATTGATCCCCCTCGAGGTTATAGGCATACTTAACTAATAAATAATATCAGGAGGGGTTTTGTGGAGATTTTTAGTAATTTCAATAGCTGAAATCATGATTCGATTGAAGCTAGATTACCATCGAAAACCTGAAAGCATTGAAGGGTCGTTTCGCCCTAGCATGGGAATCCTCAACAGTGCGCACCCACGATCCCGGCTTACGACCTATCGGTCTCGCGCGCGAGTACTCAATCATTAGACCACTGAGCTGGCCGGCATCCAACGGTGTTAATGTCTAACTTCAACCATTGTCTTCAGTGAGCTGGTATCTCACAACAGACCTGGTTAAACTCCAGTGGTCACGGCTTCCCACTAGAACTCCAGGAGTGTCTCTTGAAGTCAGTCACTAATTAATAATAATTAGCATTACATTAACTAGGGTCACCTATCATCTATACTCAATTATCTGACATAAATACATATCTATTTATACATTATTTGTAATCTCTAATTTAATTTGTTTAAAAAGTAATTTACTCTTTTCTACCTTTTTTTCTCTCCTCATTTTATAGAACGAAATTGTACAAATAAAAGAAACCTTCTGCCTTTTTAGCCGATTGATCGTTTATTTATTTCTTTTTTTTTGGTTGATAATAGGTGATAATATTCATTACATTTTATGTATTCCCTGTTCATAACACAATATTATTCACTCTATATGTTCAAACATATGATTATGAAGAGTATACTATTCTACTAATCAAAAACAATTCGCGTTCTGTTTCGACCACCCCCCCACTCACCCGTCCACCCACCGACACACACACACATAAAGTACAAAATTTTAATATTGACAAAATAGTTGCTAATCTTTTTAATATTGTTAATTTTCTATTTTTAAATTGTGATTATATAAATAAAAATTTCAATAATAAAATTTGTATTATACTATACTACTTCTTTTTCGAAAAAAACGTCTAAAAGTAGTATATAACTTAGGTAGCTATTTATTTGATTAGAAAATGTTTGGTTATTAATAAATGAATTGATCGATGATGAGTATGTTGGTCACTCACTACTCAGTGATTCTGAAGCAGATTAGCTGCTGTCTGAATAGCTCTGTAGTGAAGTATTAAACTACATAGCTGGACGGCATAGTCTCGAATCGACCAAGAAGTATTAGTCCTCTTAAAATTACGTGTACAATTTGTTGAAGAATGATATCGATATGACAAACTATATGCTCAGGGTCACCTTTCCAATACCTTCAACTAAGTATTTGTAAGTAAGTTTTACTTGTGTTCGATAATATATAGAGAAATGTGATGATGGTAATGTGTTTGCTCATTCGCATAAATAACTAATGTATACACTGGTGATTTCTAAATATTTATTCCATGTGAAGAACGCGTTCATTCACAACATCTTTTTGGATTGGAATTGGAATTTCCAGGTCTTATCGGCGTTCCCGATAAGTTTTGACAGTCAGAATCCGGAACTTAAATGCACCGACTCAACATGTAAAACTGTATTAAGACATTGTGATGAAACCTCAAGCTCTACAAAATCTCTTTGGAATTAAATAGTAAAGTTTTAAATCTGACTGTGAGAATGATACATTTGAACTATCTGGTTGAAATATTTACAACTTCGTTAGTATATTACTACATCACACGATTGAACCCTTATAGAAAATTATACCTCAACATATAAAGATAGTTTTAATCTCATAATGATAACAGTAATAATAATAAACCATCTGTTTAAGTTTACTTAGACTCACATAGTGCTTAGTGTGGATGGTATATGGATAACAGTGGGTTCCAGAACGCCGGTTTCTTGCTACATGGAATTTGCCAGCTGAATTTATCTGAATCATAGACTTTTAACGTTTATACTGTGACTTAAGCCAAGCTCAACAAGGCATTGATTGAATACCGATAACGGGAAGTTATAAACACTTAATAATAGCTTCAAATCAATTGAACTTGTTGGTGGTTATCTGTACTAAACAGTTCAACTGATAAGGTGTTGACGTTTGTAGTGATAGGTATTGTGTTCGTGTCCCAGTGTGAAAATCAACAAAGTCAGTCATTGCTAACCGTATGCAAAATATTACTAAAACTTTAACATAACATTATTTCAAGCCAAGCCATTCATGATGCATATATAACAACAGAAATTGATCAACCACAGTCAACAACAGGAAATTACATGGAAAATTTCAACAAATGATTATAGAAGGTATTAATTTCTTTCAATAATTTCAGATATATTGAATGTATATTGTACACTTAATTATAATTTTCTTTACGAATCTACAAAAATGCATTTGTATCACAAAAAGTTTTGTGGATATTATAGTTCCGCTAGGCGAGGTCATGGATGCGCACTGCTGAGGAGTCCCACAATAGGATGAAACAGCTGTCCAGTACTTCCAGGTTTTCCACCATGTTCTAGATTCAATCAACTCATGATCTCAACTATTGAAAAGTGAATTTAACATGGTATATACATATCCACATCAATAAAATGTGTAAATCACATCACGTATAGAAATAAAAAAGAATGATATATTATGTGTATACATAAATAATTTTTAGGACATTTATTATTATGCAGTTTTTTTCTAAGAAAATATGGGAAAAAAGCAAGAATAATTTATTAAACTTTTCTGTATTACATTATTAATTATAATAAATTGTAAATAGAATCTCCCATGAAATGGAAAGAACCCCTTAGTCTATTTATTTCTTACCTCCATACATCATCTATCTAATCACACTGGGGGGTTTATATATATACACGTGTATAAACCTGCTAGTACATATCATATGTGTACATCTATGGGTTGGGGGATTAAATGTAACAGTTGATGTTAAAAGGAATGATTATAATTCTGGTATTTTTTTTTATAAATATGTGGGGGGGGGACAAATAAATTTCACACGAAGCAAATGGGTTATGATATATATATATATATATATATATACATAATGCAAACAATCATTCATGCTCGTTTGTAAGAAATTTATAAGTCAATAAACAATTTGTAATTAATTTTCTATGTGATACAAGTATGTTTATTGTCAATAATGGTTACTTATATTGAATGAAATACAGATTAAAACTTAGTTTAATACACTAATATGATGAATCTCTACACTTTTCTCTAATTGAATAGGTTGTATTATAGCGAATAGTTTGTAAGGATTTGATATTGAATTAGCTGTGTTATTATTAATTGACTGAAAGTAGTTAGCTAGAAACACTGAGTGTAGGTTTTATGCCAGCTAATATTCATTACGAGGACGTAAAAGCAATCTTAAAGCAGATGAACTTAAATATTCAATGGTAACAATACATATTACGAAACTGGGTAATGTAAGTCCTAGTCTTATTGATGGCACCAGTTCTAATAAGGTTACAGACATGCCTTGTTGAATGATGCTAATTTAAAAAAAACCTAAATTGAGAACCTTCTGTTTAATATCTCCAACCACATAACATGTTAGTTAACGGATAACAATTTATTGGTTTAACTGTAGTGTTCATTATGAGGCCAGAAATTCCTAGCTCCTGGAAATGACTGTATCATAGATGTGCACTGCTGTATAGTTCTATACTAAATAAAAAAACAGCGGTTAAGCATGTTCGGTCTTCGTAA